ATGTCGAAATAGTTTCTTTTCATTTTTGTCTATTTCAGGCTGTTTCTGGTTACTTTTTTTTATTTGCAATGCAAATTTTTATGGCTTCAAAACATCAACCATTTGTAGCCGGTGTGGAAAAAATAAAATCAATTAAGCTACAAATGTTGCTAGATGCTGAATTGTCTGACTTCTATATGTCAGTGTATAAAATCAGTAAAAGAAACATCGATTGTGATTGGCTGAATGTGGCTGGCAGTGATCTCTGCACTCCTGCTCAGACGCCGATGACGCCGGCTCTCCCTCCGTCCAATCCTTGAGCTCCTACCTGCTTGTCCTTCTCCACATCGTAGCCCAGACTGATCAAACAGGCCTTGAACTCCTCGGCCTGCAGGGCCCCGCTGTGGTCCTGAGATCAGCCAAACACCCAATGACAGAGCATCGCATCGTGAGGATGAACCAATCGTAACACAGGGATGGTGGCGGTGGAGGACAGTGACCATGAGATCCACAGCATGCAGGGAGACGATGAAGACATGGAGGACGAAGGGACACACATTTATGGATGTTTAGACAATGTCGCCACACATACACAAACCCCCACACCCACTCAAGAGCTGTGATGTTCACAAACTGTCACTTTTTAATCTCCACCAATCACGAGCGTGAATGAATAACAAAGACAGATGATCCCGGTCCTCTTCAGTCCAGAGCAGCTTGCATTCATGGACACAGCAATGAACTGTTGTGGTTTCACAAAAGACTTTCACGCAGAGATCCACTGTTTTAATGCAGTTGTTACCTTTTTATGCTTATTTTTTATGCATTAAATTATGATACATGTTAAGGCCTCAAAAATTAAAAAATGTATCTATATTTAAGTGAGAACAAACCTCAGTTTCAAAAACTGTGGTGTCGTCTCTGCAGCATTTTTAAATGTATATAGTTCAGAATTTAAATAATTAGAAAATCACTGCATTCAGTTTTTATTGAAAACTGACACAATGTTCCCAAATTTAGAGAAAAGCATCCATGCAAAGACTGAAATGGGCTCAGCGGGTTGCTACAAGTGCTTTCTTTGTACTGAGTGCGAAGAATAGTTCCAGTGTTGTGTCGTCAAGAAATAAACACACTGATGTGACGAACAAAAAGACTGACGGGTGAGTGACCACCGTGTCAGATAGTGGCATGAATGAGCGACACACACAGAGCGGCATGAGATGGTGAACGATGGCAATGTCGTCCTCCTCTCTGACAGCTGAGAGCTTTCAATCATCACGTTTAACCACCACAAAACACAAAAAATGACATCTGGTAGGTTTAGTTTAGTTTTTTTAAATGCAGAAAACAGCGTTCCAAAGGGATGACAGACATCTGCAGGTTTGCATGTCCAGTGAGGGGAAAAAGACCAAGTGCAACCCAAAAATAACACATTTCAGACCAAATGTAGCATTTCTTAGCCGATTTAAAACAAGTAGCCTTTTGCTAACTGGATGTTTCCTCACTCTTCACCCTCCTGGTAAAAGCCAGTCACCATCCGTGCCTTTTTTTAAATTTCACCAACACCGCCTGTGCTCGCGAGTGAAACATCAGGATGAGTACTTACATGTCTGGCTCCTCTCTCACCCCCATTTAAGGTCTAAACATCCAGTCAGTCACATTATAAATAAACAGGAAAAACAGAGGCCAAATCCTCACACTGAAAACTGTTCAGGAAGTCCAATTAACCACAACTAACCCACTGCTAACGACTATACTCTACACAGACAAATACATAAGATGCTTGGTGCATCATAGCTGGTCTACACCATCATGTATTGTATATGTAATGGTAAAAATCATTAAACGCTTCATGTTTATAATTTTTAGATCGACACATGAAACAAAAACAGGGTTTCTCCTCAGGTATCACTGCCAACCTAAACACCTAATACTCTGTAATACTGTGAGGTTTGATAACAGGGTAACAGAACAGGTGTAATAATTAACCGGTGAGCGCAGAGCTCGGGCCCTGACCTTGTCAAAGTGGTTGAAGGAGGCGCGGTACTCGTACAGCTGCTCCTGGCTGATGCCCTTGGCGTCACGCGTCAGGATCTGGTTCTCGACCTCGTTGATGGTTCTGGCGATGGTGGTGAGCAGCTGCTCCCAGCCCACCCGGAGGTGCTGCAGTGATGGGGCGGGGTTGACAGGAGAGGTTAAGAACTGAGATGCGAGAGAGGACTCTGGTTTGACAGTGTCCTCAAAGGTTAACACAAAGCATGAGCTCGTTTTGTTACAGAGCTCATGCACACATTATGTCACACAGCTGTCCTACTTTCAAACATTTTCATTTGGGAAGTGAAAAAGACTTCATTCATTCATTGCTGAAGGTTTTGTGTGCGTTTGCGTTACCTCCATCGTGTAGGAAGTGTACTGGTTGTCGAAGATGAGCGCCTCCTGGATGTGTTGGTGGTATCCCTCCAGCTTGTTAATTTCGGGTGTGTATGATATGATGCTCTTCTGGTATTCCTTCAGGTTGGTCAGCTGGTCCTCCAGGGTGCCGTTCATTTCAATGGATATCCTGCCAACTTCCTGCCAACACAAACACACAAACACCTGAAACGCTGACACTCGAACATATTTATAAAAACAAAAAACACTTTTCTAAATAAACTTTTCCAAATGATTGTAAGATTTTTTTTTTCTGTAAGGATGCTGAAGAGTAACGCAGTGTGCATGCACAGTGACGATCTAATCTAAACAAAGCTCATGGATACAACATCTACAAACTGAAGAGCTCTTCAGGCTGTGGGTAAATCCTGCACCCTGTCTTACATTTGCTCTGTGAGTCTGTGTTTCACAAAGTGTCTGCAAAGTGACAAACTGCACACAGCTGAGCAAACGTGAAAACCTCGACATAATGCGGAGCACGTTGTGACTGTGGGGGCTGATCCGTTACCTCCATTTTGGCCTGGATGTAAGCGCCAACCGTGTTGGCCTGAGTGGCGAATGTGGCTCTCAGAGTGTCGTTGGAGTTCTGCTTGTTCAGCTCTTCCTGCAGGGCGTTGTCACGCAGTGGCACCATAGCCATCGCCTGCAAATGCACACAAAGAAGAATTAGAAACAACTGCACCCACACAAACGCACAAACATGAAGCACCAGCTGCAGAAAAACATTCACTCAGCCTGTAGAGGGCAGCGTTTTTAACACACTGGACAAACGGTTCTTCTTCTATGTAGGGTTCACCGGGGAAAAAGCTTTTAAGAGGAAAAATCTGCGCTGCGTCATTAAAGCAGCAGACAGCATTAATAGTTTACTGCTCTGGCATGAATGAGCTACACGTTTATTGCCTTAAAATGATTCACGTCAGCCTTCGTTAAACAGCAGCTCACCTGTTCCCACTTGCTGTTGATGCTCTCAGGTGTGATGGAGGTGTACGGGTTTCCGCTGCTCAGCTTGATGCCGTTGCTCTGGGCGATCTTCTGCACCTCGGACTGGATGGACTGGATAGCCTCGCGCTCCTTGTTGGCCTCGGGCAGGGTGGACTTGAACTGCTCGTGGGCTGTGATCAGACCCTGAGAGAAGGAGGAAAGAAACACGTTTGCTGGGTTTTCTGTTTTTTGTGGGATAAACGTAGCTCTGTGGCTTTAAATAGTAAACACTGGAACGTTTCTTTGGCTCAGTGCCGGACCTCCGCTGTATGTTTCATATGCTGCACTTGTTTATTCACCACTTGACTTCCCAGTTCCCAGATACCTGGATCTCCTCAATGTTGTGGACGATGAACATGTCCTGCAGGTCCTCCATAGCTCCCTCCATCCAGTTGTTGAAAGGTGCCGCTCTCTTGGCGTACTCCAGGTACAGCTCATCTATCGACTCCAGCTGCTTCTCTGTCCTCTGTCGGCAAGAAAACAGAAGACGGCCTTATTAAAATACATTTCAATACATTTTAAAATACATTTGACATTTGATTGTGTCAAATGATGATCCTGTCAAAATCCTTTTAAAGCTCAAAAGGTGCTGCACAAACAGGCCGAATCGTACCTCCAGTGACTCTTTGCGTTTGTGGGTGAGGGCTCCCAGGACGTCCCACTGATCGCAGATCTTCTGACAGCGAGCGTTGACACTGGCGGCATCGTAGTAGTCCAGTTCACTGGAAAAGGAAGAAAAGAAAAAAGGGTTTTCCTTTGTCGAGCACTTCTCATGATCAGATTCACTTTCAGACGCACTTCTTTCTGTTAATCGACACCATCTGACTGTGAGGTCAGATTTTGGACGTCAAGTCTGGTTTAAAATTTTAGAGAGGGGAAAGGCATCAGGCGACTGCTCTGAGTCTGTGTCGATCAAACCAAAGTGACCTGACAGAAGCCTCAAAGCTGCTTCTTTATTCTGAAAAAATGCACAGGCGTCTCCAAAGAACACCGGAGCTGCTTCTTCACCACTTTGCTCTGTAGTTTTGTCCATTTCTGACTGAAATGTGGATTTAATGCAACTCGAGACGATGTTAAAGGAAGTTGTGAAAATAATGTGAGTGTTGGAAGAAAAAGAAGAAAGAACTGAAGTTAAAGTTGTTTGCCCCGCGGGCGGTACATCTAAGAATTCAAATGAGAACAAAACGAATAATACTCCAACTGTGAAAAATGATCTGCTGGAACCGATTATTACACACCAGCAGCTTCGGGCAGCAGCACAAACCATCAGTAAGTTTCCAAAATGAGACTTGTGCATATTTAGCAGCTTCATTACTCAGAATAAATGAACCCTGACGTGGAGACGAGAGCCATCGGGAGCTAGCAGCAAATGATGCTGCGTGTTTCACCTCACAGCGAGCCGCAGGTACTATGCTGACCACAAACCCGCGTGCAAGGAAAGAATTATCACAAACTATGAAGAATAGAGCTGCCCGACCTGCTTTGTGCGTTTATGCATGAAAGAAGCCACGAGGAACGTTCAGGAACCGATGCTAATGAAGTCAGAGATGTTAGCGGCTCCACTCTTACTTGAGCTCCTGCGCGATGGCGGCGATCTGCTCCACTCTGTCCTGGTGGGCGGCCAGGTCGCTCTCAAAGGCCTCGTGTTTCCGGAGCAGCGCCTTGACTTCTGACAGGGTGCACGTCTCATAGTCTTTCTGGGTAAGCATGGCCTCCTTACCTGCATGCACAAAAGCCTCACTTATTCAGAGACGAGCATTCTGGCGTGGTGAAGACGTTTGCTTCACCGCGATGGAATTTACATACCGTCGGTCCAGGATTCATGGATGGCACACTTCTGGTGGAACTTGACGGCCAGATGCTCCAGTCTCTCCAGACGCCTGATCTCGCTGAGGATCCACTCCTCGTAGCCTTTCTCTGCTCCTTCCAGATTGTGCCACGCTTTGTTGATGTCCTGAGAGCAAACAGCAAGAGTTACTGTAGAGCAGAAACTCCAAACACAGTAAAACATCTCATACGTGCAGAAAAGTGTGAAAGAGGTGGTGTGAAACTGCTGTAATATTTACAAGGGAACTTAAAGCTGGATTGTTTGTTAACAAACACAGAAAAGTAACTTAACACTGACTGTGTTAAACTCACTAAGCTATAACTGAATCAGTTTTTACACCAATCTTTACAAATCCTCTGTTAGCGTGCGACAGGCTGCTTTGCGACTGATGATAATGAAGTTGTGTCGCGCAGCTTCAAGTGTGGTGTAACTTTTCCCATCGACTGTGTGCGAGTTTCATACCGACACCATGCGTCCTTCTGACGGCATGAAGGCAGGTCTGTTGCTGAGTCTCAGTTTAGTCTGCAGAGTGTTGAAGCTGATCTCCAGCTGGCATTTCTCTTGGACCTGCAGACAGGAACATCTCAGTGTCACTGGACACATTCAGCAGAGGAAAACCAACATTCATATGTGAGAGGGCACAGCGCTCTTATATGGCGATGCCACAGATACAAAGGTTCCAGCGATTAAGAGCATAAACTCTTCAAAATGTTATCTGAAGTCAGAGCAAAGAAGCCGAAGAGCTGTTCATCTGTACAGGTTAAATGGACAAGACAACCCCTGCTGGTCACTGGAAAGAATGCAGGTTTAGAGAACCTGTGCATTTTCAGACATAAAATCAGAGCATTATAAGCTAAATGCATAGAATAAGGTCTTGGGAAAAGGGCTCGTGCTGCCACGCAGTGTGAGATTAACACACTATAATAACTGGTTAATGTGAATACACAGTATACAACTCTGCCTCAATTTAAATGCTTGTAACAACAAGGCTGAAGAAGCTCTGTGCAGAGAGAGGTCAGAGTAACATGTGAGAAAATATTTGCAGAAACATTTTCCAGCAGACTCTGAGCCATTTCTCCTTGTTTCCTCTCCAGAGGGACACAATTATAACAAAAATGAACAAACACTGATGAACCTCAGGGACACAAGCAACCACTCTGCAGAAGCTACACCATGAATGAGTTTAAAAACCCAGATTTTAAATGTCAAGAAGAATAAGATTATTTTGGAAGAAAACAAATATTGAACACTGAGTAAGATTAATGAGATTAAACTTTCCACTACAAAGATTTGGGTCTGGCAGGCGATCCAGGAGTTTGAGAGCCTTTTTTCTTTGTTTAGAAATGCTGAGAACAGTTCACGCGAGGTTTTCTATACCTTGGGTGGTTTGTGCACACAGCGGTAGTCTCTGAAGTCCTCCTGTTTCACCTGCATGTCATTTACAGTCTTCTCTTGGGTTCGGTTCTCCAGCCAGGGGATGGTCCGACGGATCCACTCCAGGAGCTGGAGGCAGAGAGGACAGCACGGTGAAAACAGGACAGACGAACGGGTCGTCCTCCTTTCTCCAAAGTCTGCTGTGCAAGTAAAAGATGGCATGTTTCGATACTCACATCACTGGCCAGTTTCTCGTAGTCCTCCATCATTTGCTCGTTCTCCTGGTTGACAGCCAGCACTTTGCAGATTCGATTTGCGGCTGTCTCAGCCTATTAGGAGGGAGAGTGATGAGTGGAGCTGGACATGACTGGATAAAACTCCATCAGAGTCTACTCTCTGAGCTCAAAGCTTCATAATAAAGTCACTAAACTGAGCTTCAAAATAAGTGTCTACCGCTGCTTATTAGTACCTCAGCCTGGCCTTTCATTGCAGCTGTGACAAACGCATGTTTGCTTTTCAAATCTGTGCGCACACTCCACACGCAGGCAGTGAGGGAGGAATGTCGAGCCAAGTTTAGGCACGTGTTATTTAAAATAAGGCAAAAACGCCAATGTAGGTCAAACCAGGGCTTAATATGACTGCTACAAACATGCTCCAGCTCTCGATGGTTAGTTCAATGTGCCAAAGTCATTCTGTGTGTATTTAAAACTTCATGCATCTCCCTTCAAAACCTGGGAATCAGTGCTTCTAGTTACAGTTCATGTAGCGCTGCAGTCCACGTCAGTGCGTCTGCCTAGGATATTACACTACTGTACCACTGAAATATAAAACACAGAATTTGATAAGCTGATTCAAGGTCATACCTACTGTACAACAAAACATCTGCATTTATGCTGCTCGTCCAATAAGCTTACAGGCTATGCTTTCACCAGAATATAAGACACAGGTCATATCATATAAAACATTTAGAATAGTTTGAAAAGTGTTAATAGCTGAAAAGAAACTTGAGACATCAGCTAATGTTTCCCACAGTAATGAATCCAGACCGGTCTGGTTTCTCTAAACCACATCAGCAGCATGACCACCGGCGGTTTGCCGCTTTCCCGGAGGAAGAATCCTCGTCAATATAAAGCGTTTCATGTTCCAGCTGAGATATCCATAAATCGAAATCTGTGCATGATCTCAGTGGAAAGAAGAAATGTAAACGTCAAAATCACCCACAGAAGCATGCATGGAAAGCAATCAGTGCAGGTGACCGCCGAGTTTAAGTCCAGCCCATAAAGTCTGGAGCATTTTGAGGGAAACAGCTGATGTCCAAAGAGCCGAGACAGAAGCACCAAAAGTTCCCATCATGCTCCTGCTCAGTTTCCTGTTCTGCAGATAATATTTGACTGAATGTGTATAAAACCATAAGTGCAGCTGAACTGTTGGATCGAGCGAGCTCAAACTTCCATCTAATAAACGCTGGGCTGGAATTGCAGCATGTTGCTGTGATTTCACCTCTGATCTTTTCACACTCTAAAAACTTTAAATAACAAATGTGTTTTACCAACGATGGAAACTTTGGTGCATTTCAGGGTTTTTCTTCGCAGCGCTGAGTGTTAATGTGAGTCTGACGGGTGAGGAGCTCACCTTCTGTGCGCCAGAGAAGGCGTGATAGAAGCAGGAAACATAGGTCATTATGGCCTTCTCATCCGGCCTCAGCGTACCCACGATGTCTACGCATCACCCAGCAGAACAGAGGGAGAGAGAGAGACAGAGTGAAGCCAAAGCTACCCAAAGCTACACTTTGATTGCCCCCTGCAGGATGTGAGAGAAAGGTGAGTCAGGTGGGGGCGACGGTGAGCGCCCCCTCGTTAGTGCCACAGCTTTGAGCGCCTGCTGTCACCAGGAAGTGAGGGCCACCAGAGGAGTCCTCTGGAAGGGAAAGTGTGGGACACAAACAGGCATGAACTGCTTAATCCAGTCACTCAAAGCGGTTCATTCACCATCTGATGGAGGTCACTGGGTTCACTCAGCAGGGCAATGATGTCAGCACACTGACTGACTAATTCTTCTTCATCTTCAGAGTTCTATTCTCGTACTCAACTACAGCGTCTTCATCAACTGCAGGTGGAAAAATATTCTCAAATAACCAAGTGAACAAAATGAGAACGCAGCACAGCGACTGGTGAATGAAAACGCTTCCTGTGAACTGGAGCGGGCGCGATTTGTGTGACGTTGGTGAATAAATTACGATGCTGGCAAGAGCAGTAAATGTGGACATTTCAGAGTTTGTGTTTGGTACAAACGCAGCGGTCAGAGAGCTAACGCACATAACTCACCAGCTAAAAGCAAAACCTGAACTCGTGCCCATTTCTTTCTCACTCACTCTCTCACACACACACTCTCTCACACACACTCTCTCACACACACTCTCTCACACACACACCTCGTGAGACTGCAGAGGAACAAACAAGTTCTGAATGAGCCAGAAAATTAATTAGAGGAAGACGAGCAAACAAGAGACGCATCGATTGGCTTCCTGTCATGGGCCCAGAGGGAGGGGGGGGGAGGAAGGAGGAGGAAAAACAAGAGGGTAACGAGAGGACGGGGACGAAGATGATTTAATAACATTTATGACAGACCCACTATGAATCTTTAACATCATATTTACTTGACTTTATCAGAGACATGCATGATTTGAAACCAAACTTTCTCCACAATAGGAGTTTTTACTTATAGATTTGTCTCGTGCACATTATGTTAAAAGTCTAAATTTCACTTTGAGCTGCAGGAATTTGATTCTGGAATTTTGAATTTAGCAGTTTATGAAAGTGTACAGAGTAAAGTGGTTTCTGCTCTGTGTTTGTAAAGACTGAGCTCGTGAGCCTTCCTGTAACATCTAAAGTTTATCGACTGATATCATCCGACTAGCTCCTTTGATTTTTTGCACGTATATTTTTATCTCGGTACATATCGTTCATTTCATTCTGCACATAACGCAGATTTTATTCTGTCTGTGTTATTCATTGTTATTAGTTCCTGCCTTTGTTTCAGCCCCGACTCTGCAGGACGGTACTCCAGTTTTGCCGTACTATTGTACAGACATGCTAAAGGTAAAGCAGAAAGCGATACGCATCTAAAGCTTTTCAAATAACCGTTCGATAAGGTCACAACCTGCAGTGCCAGATGGGCCAAAAAGCCTGAGAGCTGCTCTAAAAAGGAGGAACTCCATCATTTAACGGGGCGGGTTCACTTATTTGCATGCCATGTTCTCTGAATATTAGGAAGTGACAGTTTTTCCAAGCCAAATCTTAACAATAGCAGCCAACATGAACTGGAACTACCTTTTCTTCCTACATGTACATGAAAAAAAAATCTGCAAACAGTTATAATGAACAACAAATAGGAATGAAGTTGTGCTTCTGCATTTAGACGCTTTGTGGATGTAAAGGTTCGGTCTAACTTCCTCCCAACAGTGAAAAACTGCCAAAAGCAGTCTGATGCTAAATGTGTTTAAGAGAAGATGTTGCATAGATCCTAATATGCTTCAACTCAGTGAATACACAGCTCAGATTAAAGCAACGTAGCTGGTGCATAACTGAATATTCTCATTTTGAGTTTGGGTTTCATTTTTGCTCCGAGGCTGAAGGAACTGTTCCCTCTGGATCTGTGGAGAAAGTTTTTGGATCATGGTCAGAGTGGCAGAAGGAAATGAACCCTGATGAACCTCAGTGTGATACATGCTAAAAAGCTAACAGGGTCTCCTTTAAGAGGAAGTGAAAGCAGTGAGATTATCCGTCTCTGAGGAGAGCGCCTCAGACCTGGATGCTTTTAGTGGTGGGAGAAAACAGAAACGTCCTGACGGTGATCGTTCATTTCAGCATTTTGTTTGCTGGCCTTGTTCTTTTGTTTCCTGGAAGGACTTTATTTTAAAGGATGGGGACTTCCACATGTTGAATCAGAGGTTTCTGTTCATTTTGTTTTGATTTTTAGTTTTTTTCAACCACAACTGTTCAAAAATGTAAAAATATCTATGGGAAAAGTTCCGACAGATTTTAGCTAAAAATAAAACTAAACGCAGCTTTAGTCCACAAACTCATTTCTGTACGGCAAACATTTACCGCTTTCACCAGCATGCTAATGTTGAAATCGTTTGCGTGTTTGTGTCCCCACAAACCCAGCGTCCCAACAAACCCAGCGTCCTGGCTGTCGAGACAGAGCGTGGCCATGCTGGACAGGAAGCAGCACCTTGTTAGTAAAAGGAGGTTAAAGGTTGACGTTGGCTCAGAGGGTACCTTCTGTGCTCCAGAGAAGGCATGGTAGAAACTGGACACATAAGTCATTATGGCTTTCTCATCTGGGCGAGCAGTGTTCACAATGTCTACAAGTCGGGGGGAGACCATGGTTATGAAGACGCACACATACAGGCAAGACACAGGACAAGTGATTACACAATTACAACAAGACGCACACAAACTCATTTAACGAGCTGCTGTAGCTGCCAACAGCCTGACATGCAAACAACAAATACAACGACACACACACACACACGCAGACACACACAGCTCAGGTACAGTTAATACACAACTTGGATTTCTTTCTGTAGAGTTTGAAGCAAAAAGAAAAAGTGGCTTGTTATGACAAGAATGGATCCTGTGAAGGAAACGTGGATGTTCAACATGGTCACACATACAGATGAACACAGGAGGAGGAGCAACGGCGATCCTGAAGATGCCTCGCGTGTCCTGTCACCGAGAACCCGAACACGCTTTGGAGATCGGGCACATTTACATGCACACAACGCGGCGACAAACCCCGTGCAGGTCAGCGTGGAGCTACAGTCACATGTACGTGCTGCAAAGACGGACTCCCAGGAAAAGTCACAAACTCCTATTTGATGTTACAGACTGGTCAGAAATGACAAACTGTGTCACTGTTTTAAAAAAGAACACCAGTTCACTTTTGTCACACCACTTCCACATCTTACGTTATGAACAGTCACTTTGTTCTGTGCACGTAAACACGCCCGTGATGTTTTAACACACGCAGTGACAGATCCAGCAGAGACGCACAGATCAACAGCCGACTTATTACCTTCTGCGTCCAACATCTTGGGGATGTCCAGGTGCTTCTCAGCCACCTCAAAGGCGTTGTTCAGGTTGGTTACAGGATCATCCTAAACAGCAAATCACAGACGGCAAACAAGCCAGTGAGTCGCTTCAGGCATTTGTAACACAACTTAGCAACAGATATGAAAGCATTTCGATTCACCATGTTTGACCCAAAAACTGAAATATTTGAAGAGAGTGGAGGAGTGTGAAGCTGTTCACCTTTCTGAGGCTGTCGTAGTCGATGAGATCAGGTCTGTGTCTGTGGATCAGAGCGTTGAAGGCAAGACCGTCCTTCCAGCTGTTGGAGAGAAAAGACGAGTTCGGGGTGAGGGTGGAGGTGACGCTCACACATTTGCTGCATTACAAGTCGACATTATCGGCGCCGTGAACAAAAACTGTCCCGATCTGCCGCCGGGACCAAGATCCACATCTCCACTGTGACACTGAACTTAATTTATGAACTGATCTGAAACTAAATGAACTTCATTAACATTCTTTTCGAGCTGAATTTGGGTGAAAGATGGTTTGATTGATTACATCTGGACGTGTTGCATGTGATACATCATCATCAGCTGCTTCTGAATTCCTTCTCACAGTTTTTCATATTGAAACAGAGAGAAAATAATCACATTTGTCTATTTACAGCACAGTTGTGCCATGTTGCACTCTCTCCATCAGGGGGCGCCCTTTCTACACAACAGCAGCAGATTTGAGGTTTCATGTAAGCGTTGAACACCTGAGCTGAAACCAGAAAGGTTCAGGGAAGTATCTGCGTGCGCCTGTGTGTGCGCCAACTCAACTTTTATGCTGAGTTTAAGAAACTCTCAGATCAGTATTTTTCATATAAAGGGGGGGAAAAAAAACAAAAAGAACACTGGACAGCTGCTCACATACCACACTTAACCACAAACACATTTCATCAATGCCACTGGAGAGTTTCACTGTATCCGCAGGATTCCTCAACTGGATTCTCTCAAGGTTTTGTTGGTCTTTACAACACAATATTACTGTGTGTGAACTGCTTTCATCTGACAATAGAAGCCTTTAAAAACGAGTCCAACGTAAAGCCCTGTGTGTACGTTACCTAATGTGGAAGTTCTGCACATTGACATTCTTGTAGGGAGCCGTCTTCCTCTGGCACCACAAGAGTAGACCCTCTTTGGCAGAGGTCTCTGCAGAGAGAGGAGAGGAGGAGACAAGAGACGTGATCAGTTGGAGCACACGGGGGGAAATGTCTCTGCATCACATTCATTCAGCTGCTTTGACCGTTTGAGTCGATTAGCCTTGTGCAAGCAGACCGAGAAATACCCGAGGCCGTTTTCAGCGTGCTAAATATAAATGGCCACGGTGCTCATGAGCAGAATTGAAAATATGAGGATGTTTGTGTTTGCTTTAGGTTCCTCCACACACACCGACAAAATATCCGCCGCTAATATGGAGAATTACTCCAATGACTTCTAGCAGCCCACACCCACCGCAGCTAATTCAACTCAGACTCTTTTAATTAGCCTGCAGAGTCAGTTGTGCTCAGAGAGGAGAAATGAACCTCACCTCCACATTTATCAACACAAAGCTAACGCACACATTAATGCACAAATGAGTCATCGGCTGGTTTTACTGTCAGAAAGTTCATCAGGACAGATTTGGGCTGTTGGGTCGACTCTGTGGGACTAAACTCGAATAATTAACTCATCAGTATTTAAACCATTTACTTCTAAACCTGCTCTGATATCATGTAAACCATTAAACAGCACATAACCAGGCAGAGTTAGAACTGTGCTGCTAGCAATATGTAGTTTACCGTGATCGGTCTTGTTTCAGGCACACCTGTTTCATCTTGGCTTTATTTCATCGTGTGTGTGTGCGCGTGTGTGTGTGTGTGTGTGTTTCCACTTCCTACATGCATATCAAGCCTGTACATCTGTAACTGCAGCAACCTTCAGGGCTTAAAAATGAAGCCAGTGCAGAAGTGCCAGAATCTGCAGTTCCTCTAACTTTAGGTCGGCTCTGAAAGCGAGTCGATCCCCACAGACTCCCATGATGCTCGAGTCCAGCCATGAAAATAACATTTTTACAGCCTGCTACAAAAACACTTCTGTGCTCTTTAGCTCAATCTCCCCCTAAAAACAGATGCACAGCGGGTGAATTTTTAAACTGCTCGTTCTTAAAGTGTTTCTAGTGTAATAAAGCTCTGAGTCACAGGTGAATGCCAACAAAGGAGCCACTACCTTAGGCTAGGCCTCAGCCTTGCCAATGAAGTCCCTAAATTAGAGCTCTGGAACCTGATTTTGGATGTTGGTGCCTTTCTGAGAATTAAAACCATGAAATTATCTGGTAAATATAAACTGCTGCAGGTTTACTGCACTCAGGCTGCCCAAGATGTCGGTGCTCTACTTATTTGTAGGTAACTTGTAGCCTCAGTTGTCAGTTATCTGCATTTCTGGCTGCAGCCACAAGAAAGTGCAACTTTTCCAAGTGGTCTATAAAAGCCTGCTGCAGGTCTTTGTCAGTCAGCTGGCCTGAAAAACCTGGCTGGGAGCTGAACTTTAGAGAGTTTGATTTTTTTGGTTTTTATTTAAGTGATGGATAAAAAAAACGAAGAACGAAGAGAGCGAGGTGCGACAGTTTTCATGGATATGAATAACAGGAAGCTGCACCTTCTACAGAGATGTCCTGGATGGCGAAGCGGAGGATGATGGTCCAGATCATTCCCAGGGTCATCTTGGCGTTTCCATCCACGATTTCTATGACACACACACACACACACACACACAACTTAATCAATCACTGTGTTTCTCTGTTACACCCCCAGAACCGTAGTTCTTGTCTATCACTGCTGTTTTTACAATCCTACATCTGCTGTTCCATTTAATAATGCCAGCACACCCACTCACAACTACGCTTAATGTGTAACGGCTGCTGAGTCTCTGCTAATTCCAGGGAAAGTGTGATGCTCGAACAAAGATTTCTTTCATAAAAATCAGTGAAATCTGGGGAAAGATGACTTTTTACTGGCAAAGGCACATAATGACTGTTTAACGTGTCGTGTCGGTTAAACAGGGAGGATTAAATCGATGAGGAGGGCAGATTATGTGAGTATTGTGTGGATAATTTAACATCAGAACTTCATCTAACAAATAAATCATTGTTAATGTGAATAAATGTAAATCCTGGCAGCATCGGAACTGGAACATTCTCCAATACGGTTTTCAGAGTTTGGCCGGTGAACGATGACGGTTACGTTAATGAGCAGATTCCACTCTTTGTTCTCAGACATTCTTAGAGGTTTTCTCAGTCCTGTCATGCTTTCTCACAGACACACACTCAACTTGGAATTTGTGCTTTTATTGTAGGTTCACATTCTTTGTGGTTAATTTCGTATCCACCTTCAGCTGTCAGCAGATTTAAATAGTAAATTACGATTAAAGCGATGAGGCTCCGCCTTTTCCCTTCTTACAATAAACTTTAAAGGCGTATTCACACCTGCACTTCAGGTTCAGGTAAATCACACTTGGCTGGTTGTGATTCATTTGGCTGCTCAGGTGCAAAACAAACAGCAGCGGTGAAACCGTTCAGAGGAGGATCAGTCCGATCCTGGTGTGAACAGGGACGCGAGGCGCACTCAGAGTTTCAGCTAATCTTGTAGCAGCAGCAGCTAGCTAGAAAATGACGTGCTTCAAGTTTAAAACCCTGGGAAACAACATTTCCATTTGAAGAATCTGACCAGGGAAAGTGTGCACTGAGCATCCTGACAGAGGGTTTTTCCCTCTTCCATCTGCTACGTTTGCATTTTCCTCTCAGTTTCCAGCCGACGACCTTTAACGGGCTGCTGCTTTCACAGAAGGCCGGAGTGTGTTTACAGCGCGCAGTGTGCGCGCCATACTTTGTGTTCAGTGGTCACCAGTATCAGCAGCGTCATGCTACAGGAATGTCATGGTTGCTCTGATAGTAGGAGAAAGGTCAGCGTCCTGCAGCCGACACACACACACACACACACACACACACACACACACACACACACACACACACACACACACAC